TATATTGTCCTACCCAAAGGGGAGAATGTTAGGAATTGATAGTCACCTAACAGTTGGGTTGGAAATATATAAGCCAGGATAGGCATTTAATACTGTCACTTTAAGGAAATGCTAAAATTGTAATTGGGTGTGGTTCCTTAAATGGCCATAAGATGGAGCCAGAAACCTGGATTGTTAGTTCTGTTGTTGTTAGTTGCTAGTTGCTAGATGTTCTGATAGTCGATGTTGCTGTAAGTCTGTTACTGAACTGTGTATGATACTGGACTTTGTTATTTGGATTATCCCTGGACTGAATACTGACTGCTTTAACTGTGTATGACTTCGACTGTTTGTTGGACTTCACTTAACCATTTACTGGAAGTAAAACCTACATATTACTATTCAGTGTATCTGTGTGCTGGTTGTGTGTTATTCCTCACCACTCTTACTACGCTTCCCTGAGTGCACTCAACAACTCAATTACTTCAACAGCTATGGCAAATTTGCAACCTGTGTACTTCAACTCCCAGAATTCCTTAGTCAGCCAGGAATTCTGGGAATTAAAGTTCACAGATCATAAGGTTGCCATAGTTGCCCATCTAAGCAGATCATGGATCTCATATGACACTTGATGGTTGTCTGCATGACGCATTTCAGAGGCTGCGATAGGCTTCACTCCTGATACTGCTAGGCAGTTGATTAGCATTTCCCTAGCATGATATTATGAATGCACGTCTCTGCAGATGAAACCAAATTGAGCTCTGTCCCGCCAGCTGGAAGCCTTTGAAGATGAAAAGATTGACTGCTCAGGCTCCAGATCCTTGTCTTTCTTCACTAATGAAATCTGTCAGGACTGGGCTCACAATATGTTGATCAGAGAAGAAATGTGTTAAAGGGCGATTCAACTGCTGAAGAAGCCAACATAGGTCTTCTGTTTTCAAGACTGATTGTCCAGTCTCTCTCACAAAATTCTTGGGTTTCAGTCAGAGCAGGTAACATCTTGTCAATTTCCAAGGGTTTTGGAGGACACAAATTATTTCAATCCCTTCTGGTCTGTTTTCTAGCCAGGATTTTGGGATGGAAACTATTCTGATCCGTGGTAGGATTCCATTTTTTTTACTACTGGTTCTGTGAGAATGGCTTGGTGGGCATGGCAGGGAAAGGATACTGTAAAATCTCCAGTCAGAGGTGGTATTTGCTGGTTCTTCAAACTATTCAAAATTTCCACTACTGGTTCTCCAGAAATGGTCAATCTGCTGAATACCACCTCCGATCCTGATCACCTTGGGGAGTGAGATAATACAAGTCTGTAGGTTCTCTGGACCTCTCTTGGTGATTCTTGAACACTTCCTCTGGAAAGGGACTTGGAGTATTGGTCTCAGGGTGACTTCATTTACTTCATGGCTGGGCACACACTCAGAAAGTGGATTCTCTCTTGCCGCCCATTTTTTAAAACTTTTACATGAAACTATCTAGAGAAATGAGCTTAAATGGAGTCCAGAAGATGGTAGAGGACAAAAAGGCCTGGAGGAACATTGTCTATGGGGTCACAAAGGGTCAGATACAACTTCGCAACTAACAAACAACAACAACTTAGAGAAATTGTCCGGAGCTGTGGACTGAGATGTCATCAGTGGGCTGAGGAAATTGTTATTTTAGCCAGAAAAGAATGATTAAAAAAGATGGAAATCTCAAGTAAAACATCTTCATAATTGGATAGAACTGCTTGCGGAGCTTCCTGGAGGTGTGGAGGAGGAGTGGACAATCTGGAGATATTTAAACACTGGCCTAGTTAGAACTAGCATGAGGATATTCATATGAAGCACTGGTTCAAACAACTATCCATCTTTTATAGTGCTCTCTGGGACTGATTTGCACACAGAATGACTTGTTAATCAGATGTATCTCTGCCGTTAATGTGGCCCAGTACTGGGATAGAACTATATGAAGCTTTTATCATAATATTTTTAAAACATTAAATTCATTAATTCCCATTTTCTAATTCCTGCATTTCTGACACGAGATGAGAGGAATGTGCAAGTGACACTCTATGTAAGCTCTGTTTTTGATCATTTTATCCTATAAGGCAGGGGTTGCCAACCTTTTGGACCTCAGGGACCACCAAACTCATAATTTTAAATCCCGCGGACCAGAAACTCTAATAAAATCCCCCAAAAGTCTTCAGGACAATTCCCCACCCTGTTTTCCTACCGATCAATCATTCTTTATTTGGGATTGCAGGATACCGTCTCCAGCTCCTTTCTCAGGGGGAGAAAGAGAGAGAGAGAGAGAGAGACTTTTGGCTTCATGCAAGGAAACAGCAGAAGCAGCAGAAGTCTTTCTTTCTCTCCCCCAAACTTCGCCAGAAATGAGTCTTTGTGAGATTTGTCATGCCGATGCAGCCTCTTGGAACAGGATGCCTTTCAGGACACCAAAGACTTATTTCTGGCGAAGTTTGGGGGAGAGAAAGAGGTTTATTGCTTTCCTTGCATGCAGCGAAAAGCAGAAGAAGAAAGAAATGGAAAGAAGCAGCCGGGTGGCCAGGTGAGGTGCGTGGAGCGAGTGGGGTAAGTTCCCCACTCCACCCTTTCCCCTCTGCCCTCACTACCTCGTGTTGTTCGCAATGCAAGTGCTGCAAGCATTGTGTTCCCGCGGGCCATGTGGGTGGTGCAGCCTTGTGTTCCTGTGCAGCCTGGATTAATTGCTTTGGGGGGTGCTTTGGGGGTGACATTTCTCTGCGGACCACCAAAAATTTCTCACAGACCACCAGTGGTTCCCACTGGTTGGCAACCATTGTCCTGGGGAAATGGCTGAAACAATGAACAGGTTAAAACTTGGACTCAGGAAGAAAACCATGCTGCTGATCTGTAAAATCCTTTTACAGCACTTCATTTATAGAGTCATTTATGCAATGCATACCTTTTAAATTCAGCATGCTCCGGGGAGGTGCAGTTAGTGCCAATGGCTAGGCATGGTTTTATAACCAATTTAGGCCACTTCGTGTTAAAGTAAAACTCATTTACTGGGTAAGATGCAGGGTTGATGACTATGGTATCCTTTTATGTGGAGCTCCCTTGAAGATGATTTAAAATTTGCAAGTAAAGCTGGCGTTGGTGGCCAGAACTTTTGCGATTGCTGTGTGACATTCAAACCAAATTCTTTATCAGTTGCATGGCTTCCTATTAATTTCCAAATCCATTTTATAATACTAATTTTAGCCTTTAAAGCCTTACAATGAACAAGAACTCTGTTCATCTGAGGAATTATTTTATTTCTATATATTCCTTTCTGGGAAATAAACACAGCCTGTTTGGTCCTGTATGGTGACCGACCATTCAGAATTATTCACATCGTGCATATTCAGGATCAAATAATCTCTTTGCTGGCCACATACTCCTAGAACGCTGCAGAATTTGGCAGTTTCAACCTGTTGCTTTATAAAACTTTCTGAAAAGGTGTTTATTCCTGCCCATATGTGCTTAATATACTTGGAGTACAAGAACATCTCATTTCATTTTGATTAAAATCATCTGTTGCATTTCTTGGTTCCTGGTGGTTTGTGGTGGTTCGTGGTGGTTCTTTGTGTCTTGAAGCCAATTTCGCGTATAGCTCAAACTGCGATCACAAATGAGCCCAAAATTTACATTGCGAAGTAAGAAATTTGTTGAGTGAGTTTTGTTCCATTTTCTTGCCATATTTGTTAAGTGATTCGCTGCAGTTCTTAAGTTAGTAACATGGTCATTAAGTGAATCTGGTTACCCCATCGGCTTTGCTTGCCAGAAGATCTCAACATTGATCACATGACCCTGGGACTCTGCAAACGTTATACATGTGAGTCAGTTGTCAAGTATCCGAATGTAAATCACATGACCATGGGGATGCTGCAATGGTCATAAGTATGAAAAATGGTCATAGGCCACTTTTTTCAATGCTATTGTAACTTCAGATGGTCACGAAGCAAATTGCTGTAAGTCAAGGACTACTTGTACTGCCTTTCTGGCACATATATATGCTTTGAAAGGCCACTTTAAAATTGATTAAAAAGTAACCCCACTTGGCTACTTAACTATATGTGTGAATGAATGAATGAACGAATGAATGAATGAATGAATGAACGAATGAATGAATGAATGAGTTATTTATTGGCCAAGTGTGATTGGACACACAAGGAATTTGTCTTGGTGCAAATGCTCTCAGTATACATAGAAGAAAAGATACATTCATCAAGAATCATAAGGTACAATACTTAAAAATAGTCATAGGGTACAATAAGCAATCAAATCATACTAGGAAACAGTCAATATAGATCGTAAAGATACAAGCGACAAAGTTACAGTCATATAGTCACAAGTGGGAGGGGAAGGGTGATAAGAACGATGAGAAGATTAATAGTAATAGTAATGCAGACTTAGTAAACAATTGGACAGTGTTGAGAGAATTATTTGTTTAGCAGAGTGATGGCTTTTGTGAAAAACCTGTCCTTGTGTCCAGTTGTTCTGGTGTGCAGTGCTCTATAGCATTGTTTTGAGGGAAGGAGTTGAAACAGTTTATGTCCGGGATGTGAGGGGTCTGTAAATATTTTCACAACCCTCTTTTTGACTTGTGCAGTATACAGGTCCTCGATGGAAGGCAGGTTGGTAGTTGGTAGTGTGTTGGACACTGCTATTTGAGTGGAAGGCTATCAGAAAAGCAAGTGTTGTCAACTTTCATTGTGCATGACTAGTAGTAAAGGCCTCATTCCACCATCATGAGTTGCAAGATGTAGTGATACTGCATATAAGCAACACCCACTGGTGTTGAGTACGTAGATATAGTAATGGAATGCAAGACTACATGACCATCTTGAAGAGATCAACTTTCATCCCTGGAGGTTTTTAAGAAGAGAGTGGACATCCATTTGTCTGGAATGGTAGGGAGTCTCCTGCTTGAGCTTTTCATTCCTTCCCAACTTTGTTATTCTCTTCTTCTTTAGTCCTGCAGTGTAATCTTTGTATGGACATTGCCTTTCCTCTTATCCTCAGATGCCGCTTCTCCTTGTGCTGAGTTTGCTGGTGATATCACAACGTGGCCATGGAGCAGTCCATCTGAACATCACAGAAGGTAAGATTCCTCCTTTCTCTTCTATACTTCTGCCCTTGGGCCTCTTTTTTTCTGGGAGCTCCAGTTCCTTGTGTTGTGCATACCCCAAAGATAGTTCATTCTGGTCTAAGACAACACACTACCAGTGGTGGGCAGCTGCCAGTTCGAACCAGTTCTGATGAACTGGTACTTCTGACCATCAGCTGGTCCCACCCACCCGCCACCCGCCCTGTCCTATATTCCCTTCTTTTCTGGCTCAGCTGATTTGTGCGGCATAGCTGATTTCCGCACCTCACGGCTACTCTAGGGGCTACTCTAGAAGGTAAGCAGTCGAGCTTCAAATTGCTATATTCTGAACGCTGCATGTGCCTTTTCATTTGCAGAGAAGGTTGCACAGAACCTGTTGCTAAACCGGTTGCAGCCCACCGCTGCCCAGGACTATTTCTCTAGCGTGCAATACTTGTCTGAGCTCTGCTCGAAATAATATCTTTATATTTAAAATATCTAACCTTGGTTTTAAAAAAGACCCAATGAATCTTGTGTGATGGTCTGTGATGGAGGGAAGATGGAGAAAGGGGTCCTTCCTCTCCTTGTTCACCAACCTCGCTGCCCTCCAAGATAATGCAGGCAAAGAAATTCAGGCTGGGATTTTCTGCAGGCAAAACAGGGGCTCTAACAGAGGCTCAATCAGCCTCAACCCACCTGGTATTTTTGAAAGGTTAAACAAGAAACCAGCACACATTGTTAGAGATTGCCTCAGTCTTATATTTTGACCATTCCCCCAGCAGGCATGGGTTTCTTGCAAGTCGTCACTCATAGACCAGGAAAGTTCTAGTCATCTTCTTATTGTTGTTGTGAAGTAAATGCCTGTGCTGTGTTTCATGTAGAGATAACTCATGCAGAGACTGTGCCATAATGCTAAAAAAAGGGTTGAATTCACCTCAGACCTTGAAAGCTCATGATACTGCAACTGACCTACTTAATAGATCATTAACTTGTGGAATTTATTGCTACAAAACAAGGCGATGGCTTCTGACTTGGATGGACTTAAGAGGAGAAAGGAATGGAGAAATCACGGGTGAGATTCTGCAGGTTCGCACCTATTCGCTAGAACCGGTTGTTAACATTCTAAGCAGTTTGGAGTACCAGTTGTTAGAAGAAATTACTGGTCTAATCCTGTAAGGAAGGCAGGAAGGAAACATTCTGGTGTTGCTTACAGAAACTGCCTCTCCATTAACTCTTATTACATTCTTGACAGGACTAGACTGCCTGTCACAGGAACTTCTCTGGAGTTTTTTTACCTCCTTTGCTGGTAATTTGCTTGTGTGGAGTGACCATTCAAAGTTACAATGGCACTGAAAAAAGTGACTTATGACCATTTTTCACACTTACGACTGTTGCGGCATCCACACAGTCATGAGAGGCCAGGCTAGGAGATGCGTGCCTCAATGTGAGTGATGTTGAGTTGACCAAGCCCAGCCAGTCACATGACCACCAAGCCATGCCCACCAACTAAGCCACATCCACAGAACCAGTTGTTAAAAAATTTGAATCCCACCCCTGGGAGAAATTGTGTCTAGTCTGGGGAGGAGAGGGATTGGGATGGCATGGTGGCATCTTCTAATATTTGAAGGGCTGCCACAAAGAATTCCCCTGTAGAACTGTATCAGCAGCTCCTTGGGGGCCTTGGCTCATTCCAGCTCATTCAACCTATTCTCTAAAGCACCTGAAAGCAGGACAAGAAGCCACGAGTGGAAACTAATCAAGGAGAGAACCAACCTAGAACTAAGAAGAAATTTCCTGACAGTGAGAACAATTAACCAGTGGAGCAGCTTCCAGCTCCAATACTGGAAGTTTTCAAGAAGAGACTGGACAGTCATTTGACCAGGATGTGTAGAGTTTCCTGCATTGCGCAGGGGGCTGGACTAGAAGACCTCCAGGGTCCCTTCCAACTCTGTTATTCTGTTTAGTCTATGAAGGACTGGCCTGCCAAGGACTCCGTTCAAAGTTTGGGTCAGCCCGCTCCAAATACCAGTAGCCATGGAACAAGAACAGGAAGGGTCTTCTCTTCTTCCTTATGAACACTCTAGAGGAGGGGTTCCCCAAATTTGGCAACTTTGCTGGCTGGAGAATTCTGGGAGTTGAAGTCTACAAGTCTTAAAGTTGCCAAGTTTGGAGAGGCATATGACTGACTACTGTGGATGACAATAGAATAGAATTCTTTATTGGCCAAGTGTGGTTGGACACACAAGGAATTTGTCTTGGTGCAAATGCTCTCAATGTACATAAAAGAAAAGATACATTCATCAAGAGTCAAGAATCATCAGGTACAACACTTAATGATAGTCATAGGGTACAATAAGCAATCAAATCATACTAGGAAACAGTCAATATAAATCGTAAGGATACAAGTGACAAAGTTACAGTCATATAGTCACAAGTGGGAGGGGATGGGTGATAAGGAGTGATAAGAAGATTAACAGAAATAGTGCAGACTTTGTAATAGTTGAACAGTGTTGAGGAAATTATTTGTTTAGCAGAGTGATGGCTTTTGGGGGGAAAAACTGTTCTTGTGTCTAGTTGTTCTGGTGTGCAGTGCTCTATAGTGTTGTTTTGAGGGAAGGAGTTGAAACAGTGTATGTCCAGGATGTGAGGGGTCTGTAAATATTTTCACAGCTCTCTTTTTGATTCGTGCAATATACAGGTCCTTGATGGAAGCAGGTTGGTAGTAATTGTATTTTTTGCGGTCCTAATTACTCTCTGAAGTTTGTGTCTGTCTTGTTGGGTTGCAGAACCAAACCAGACAGTTATAGAGGTGCAGATGATAGACTCAATAATTCCTCTGTAGAACTGTATCAGCAGCTCCTTGGGGGCCTTGGCTCATTCCAATGTGGCCAGGCTTACATGCTTATGTAAATTATTTTATGTCTTTTTAATTATTGTATTTGGGTGCTTTTATATTATTCTATTTTGCTGCATTAAAACGAAGATTAAAATTTCTTGCAATACCTGGAGCACTGTAGTATAAGTATAAATAAATAGAATCAAGTTCAGAATACCAGAAAGTTAAATCTAATATTATATAAAATGAGATCCAGTCATAATAGAAAAAGATTCCATGAGCAGAAACATGGGCAAAATGATGTAGTTATGAATAATTGGCAAAGTTGTAAAATTGAAAATGTCAGATAGCAAGAACAGCAGTAGCAGTTAGACTTATATACCACTTCATAGTTCTTTACAGCCCTCCCTAAGCAGTTTACAATGTCAGTATATTGCTCCCAACAATCTCATTTTACCCACCTCTAAAGGATGGAAGGCTGAGTCAACTTTGAGCTGGTCAAGGTTGAACTTCTGGCAGTGGGCAGAATTTCCTGCAATATTGCATTCTAACCACTGTATCCCCACAGGTCTAGTAGTCAGGGTTTCCAAAACAAGAATGACTTTGAGAGTCAAGCAACAAACAAGTTTAATATACTATGATTGGTCACACAGTCAGCCAGATGCTTAGATTCAATTTGGAATTTTTATCTATTCATTGAATACTCAAGGACTTTGGTCAGGCAGATGTTGTAGATATTATTGTTTAACAATATTAAATATATTGTTGCAAGATGTAAGCTGTTTCCAGTAAAGCCACAATTTTGCAATTGACCTAGTAGTAATTTTGTCAATGTTGATGATGTTCAAGTTCTGCTCCAGATGTTTTTGGGAACTGCGGGATTCAAAATTTTTTTACTACCTGTTCTGTGGGTGTGGCTTGGTGGGCGTGGCAGGGGAAGGTTACCGCAACATCTCCAGTCAGAGGTGGTATTTGCTGGTTCTCCATACAACTCAAAATTTCCGCTACCGGTTCTGCAGAACCGGTCAGAAACTGCTGAATACCACCTCTGAACTGCACCCAAGGTGCCTATTGCAATTAGTACTGTCTTTTTATTTTTTACCATCGTTATTCTACTTCTATTTGGTCTTCATATTTTGTGATTTTCTCCGGTATGTTGTCTTCTTTTCTGCTGTCTCCAGATACTGCAATGTCTACAATGCAGACTTTTTGTCTTTTTTAAAATCAACGATTGTTAAATCTGGGGTGTTATATGGCAGTTGATTGCCTAGTTTGAATCCTAAAGTCCAAGAGCACTTTAGTTTCTTCATTTTCCATTACTTGTCTGTTTTGTAACCCTACCAGTTCTTGCTTTCAGGCAAATGGTACTTTTTGCATTTATTTCAATGCATAAGGGTTGCTACTTGCTATTTTGTTATTCCATTGTTGGTAGTCAGTTTGTGCGATCTTCCTGCAGCAGCTAACTAAGCGATCCGCTGTTTTTTCAGTTTTTTCTAGGAGAGGCTGTTTTTGTTGTCTGTTGCTCTCTATTCTATTCTTATTATTCAGAATACATCTGGAAGAGAACTTTTGTGCCATGCCCTGGGTAATCACAGGTTCATTGTTTTCACCCACAACTTCTGTGATGAAGCTGTTCCACTAGTTATGCCCCAGTTGGAGTCTGATTCCGAGGGGGAGGTCGAGTAGCTGATAGGGAGTGGGAGTGTGGCTCCGGTGGCTGTGGAAGAAACTGGGGAAGGGCACAGTCCAGCTGGGCATTCAGAGGAAGACCCAGGCCCACTCCCTCTTCATCGTAGGGCATGCAGGGAGGAACGGATAAGGGAGCAACATGGTTTATGAGGGAGGAAAGGGCCCTGATCCCCTTCATGGGCTGCAGCTGGTAAGACTGTTTAAAAGGGCAAACTGCGCATGGCAAAGTTGCTGGAAGCAAAGTGTGCATTATTTTTGTCGAGGCTTATCTGGGTTTTGGCGTCCCCCCAACTGTGTGTGTCTTGTTATCTTTTGGAAGTCTGCAAGTTATTATCTTGTCTATCGTGTTAATTACTTCAGTGTAGTTTATGTTGGGTTTTTTATTTCTACTTTATCTGTATTTTAGGTTCAGACTGCATTTCTTCCCTTTGTAGACTGTTTTTGGAAGAGTTTGATCTCCCACTGAGGATAATTGGATATTGGGGGTCAA